CACATCAAGCAAAGTAGGATTATTTAACAAACTATCTTTTTGTCCAAATTGATCTTTGTAATTGCCATATATGTTTTTACAACAGATGCAATGTCTGAGAATGTCATCACCCAGCCGTATCTCTCAGAGACAGCAAGACTTGAAGATTTGGTCACACTGGAATGTTTTGTACTAACTTTTCTGATTTAAGCAACCCTTTGGAGTAGCCCCTATCCATATAGCTATTGCTTTTTCTAATTAAAATGATGTCAGACTCTTTGAGGAATTAGAGAATGATCCACATTTCAAGATTAATAAGATAAAAAACAAATGTAGCCTCATTATTTCAAGAACTGAACCTCTTGATGTTGGGACATATTACTGTGAAGCACTCAGTTTCAACCACATGATTTTCGGGAATGGAACTGTGCTAATTCTAAGGGGTAAAGTCCATGTTCACATCTCAGTATTTTGGGGGAGCTTTTAATCTTAAAACATTAATTTTTTTTACAAGTTCTAAAGCATTAATATAAAGTGTCCCGGTTAATAATTATTCATTCAATTTCAGATCTAACTTAATTTTAAAAGTCTAAAATTGTTGATGAGGTCAAAAAAGAACAGGTGACTCTATTGGGCTATTCTTTATTATTTAGTTTTATCAACATTTTTTTAAATTCTTTTTTCAACATCTTATAATCAAGCCAAGTCTGATTTACTTTCCTTCTCGTGCATGATACAGCTTTTCTAAATAACCCACAGTATAATGCCTAATGTCTTTCATCAGGTTATTTGCACTTAAAAATGTCTTTTGGTTTAGTGTTCAGCCATGTGATTGCAATGCTGTTTTTGATTTTCTAACTTCAGAACTTATACACAACATAAGTATGTCATTTCCATGGATCTAGGATCAAAGTCAAGGAATAGGAGTGTTTTGCAGAAGCCTGCATCAGTTCCAGTCCTGACAGGAGATGATGTGACCCTGCAGTGTACAATACACACTGAGATCTGTGCAGGAGAGCAAAATGTTTATTGTTTCAGGCATGGCTCAGAAGAATCCCTTCCAGGAATAATTTTCACCCATGAAAACAGGAGTGATAAGTGTGAGAGAAGCTCTGAGGCTCAGCTTCCTACACAGTGCTGTGACTATTATCTCCCTAAGAAGAACATCAGGCACTCTGATTCTGGGACTACTATTGGGACACTACTGTGCTGTGGCCACATGTGGGGAGATCCTGTTTGGAAATGGGACAACGCTAGAGATTACAGGTAGGCTGTTGTATAAAAAACTAAATATCACTTTAACATTTTTGAACATTAGAAAGTGCATATTATTACAATATGTAGATACATGTTTAATTGTAGTTATTAACCTTAATTGTGAGTTGTATATATTTTTCCCATCATGGCATAAATCTTGACTGAATATTTTGATATTTATATGGCAAAATAAAGTCTAGCTTTTTTCCATCAGAACAAAACACCAGAAGTGCATTATATAATATACGTAAACTAGAATACTCCTTATTTGAATCAGAATTAACTTTCATATAAGCTAACTGAAACTTCTTAATCTATTTATGTCCTATTTCAACACCCTTTTTTCAGCATCTGTTCATGAGTCCCCAAATATGTACATCACCATTGTTTTGATGGCAACAAGTATTGTGTTTGTGACTGTAATTGTATTTCTGATTTGCCATTTGATAAAAAAACAGAGAAAAGATCAGTCAGTCTTCACTTTTGCTTTTAATACAAATTCCTAGATGAAATCTTCAGATACACTTCAACAGAAAAATTGATTTCTCCAGAGATTATGAACTTGGATGTGGTTGTAATATTTGTTCTTCAGTATAAATGTACAGATGCAGCCATTCAAAATGGGTGAGGTATTTCGCGGCATACC